AGCTCCGTTCTTGGTTTAGTAACTTCTACTAAAGAGAGTCATTTGGAAATTAAAAAAAGTCAAACCACTTATTAAGGATTAAATGGAGCTGGCAGATCAGTTAGATCCCAAAAAAACAACACTTTGGCTGATTATTTCTTACAACAACTTTTGCTTTTTAATTGTTTTCTTCAGCAGCTGTTTAGTGAAATCCCTTTTATTACCTGTTATTAATATTTTCCCTTCAGTATTGAGAGATTATGAGACATGCTGGAAAATCCCTTCAGGAAAATTGAAGGACGTGTGTCCCGGAGCCCCAGTAGAACCACTGCTGTAAATCTCTAAGGTGCCTGCAACCCTTCTTAACCCCTTCCAATAGAGGAATGAATCACCCCCCCTCCAGCTTATTTCTAATTCAGTAAACTGCACAGTGGCTGCAGCATGCATATAAAACTGAATCTGCTTAGGAAGCATGGCTGAATGGCTCCCCCTCCTGCTGCATTGTAGTCACTGCAGACGGAGGGAGCAGAGGTCTGCAGTTGGTGGTTACAAAAAAAAAAAAGAGCAGCTCAGAGGAAGTCAGATAATATTTGGACTGGAGCGGACTATAGAGAAGGGAAAAGGGTGTGTGTGAGAGACAGAGCAGGGAGGGAGGAAAGAGGAAAAGAGGACAGGGGGCCCACAGGGAAACGGGGGAAGACAAAAGAAGTGTGTTTAAGATAACATGAAAGGAGATGGAGTTCAGAAACAGAGATGTTGCAACAGCAGCTGAATGTGCCGACACCTTCATAACTCAGCAAAGGCCTCCACTCCTTCCTGTGTGTGTATATTGTCTATGTGTCTGTTAGAGGGAGGTTAAAAATATCTCCACTCACGTTGAATTGCACGAAACCGTGGGCCGAATGAAGGCGAGGAGCCTGAACCCAAATCTGGAGAGTTACGCCTCTTTTCCAGGCCTGGGGACGCCTGCACTGTAATTTTATGGATGAAATCTGAAAAAAAAGAAAACAGTTTGTTAAACAATTGAAGCCACAGTCTGAACGCTGACAGAGATCTTCATCCTGCTGGGAATTCCCTGTAATAATCCAGCAGCGCTTCTAAACCTGTCAAACGGCNAGATCTTCATCCTGCTGGGAATTCCCTGTAATAATCCAGCAGCGCTTCTAAACCTGTCAAACGGCCTAAAACGTAGAAAAACAAGTGGCTGTAGTTGCTAAATGCTGGACGTATGACTGGCCTCAACTTAATATCCAATATAAGGAAAATTCTTACAGTATCAGTTTATTTAATTTCATCTTATCCTCTAAATGGACCCACTCAGAAAAAGCATAGAGCCACTAATGCAACCTCACCCAAGGGCGTAGGTTTGATTTCCACTTTGGTAGGGACACTATTGGTCCTAAGTTTCATTAATGTCGTTTTACCTATGCAAAAATATGCATGCATGCTTTTTATGCTTGACGTGAGCATCAGGGTGCATTTTGTTTAAAGAGAAAAGCAGCATTTCTTGCTAAATTTATACTAATCTCATAAGCACTACACACACTAGATGCTGTTTATCAATGTTTGAAGCATCACTGGCTCTGATTAATGTGGAATTAGGACTTTTTTCCACTTTGAAAAGGTTTGAATTTCAACTTACCAGTGACTAAGACAGAAGGTAAATATGTGCCAATTTAACCAAATATAGTCTAAATATGGCCGTTATATGTGAATTTATCCTGTATTTTCTTTTGAAGATATATAATTGTGCAAAGGTAAACAGGTGAAACATACTCTTATTTTTTAAATGCTCTCTCTGTATCATGGAACAATGCAAAATAACACCTTCAAGGGACTGCAAATATATTTACTGTATTTACATTTAGTGGCATTATCTACAAAACACAAAATTAAGAATTTAGTTCATTATGTTGGAATGAACTAAATTTATTCCAACATAAAATCACTTTTAACAATTATTAAAATAAAATATAACACCATCTTGTCTGTAATGTAAAAATATTTAAAATAAGTTAAAACGTATAATTATGCTTTTTAAACAAAAAATATCAGATGTTAATGCACCATCTTGTGTTGTTATACTCTATAAAAGAAATAACACCTGCTATTTATAGCTGAACTACCTCAAAGGGTCATAAAATGAAAACAGTAATTGAAATTAAGTATTGTTAAAAGGGAAACCCTTACATTTTCTTTTTCAGTCAGCTGTGTCTAAGAATCGCCGTGAATAAAAAACTTATTTCGTGCTCCAAGCACGGACACACGCATACGGACTAGAAAACAGCCAATCAGGAAGAGAGAAGGCGGGACTTGAGGCAGAACAACCGATGAGAGTGGAGTTAGACAGCACAGTTACTGATTTAAAGGACAGGAAAGACCAGGCAGCACTCAGACGGAGCGGCAGCAGCAACTACTGAGCTGCGAGAGAAAAAGAATTGGCTGTGATCACAAACAATGGCTGTGTGTGATCCACCATGCTGAATTGTAAATTATAAACATGTTATATAAATATGTTGTTTATATCGAATTATTGGTAGGGACAAATAGGTCGGTCCAAAATTTTGGTAGGGACATGTCCCTATGGTCCCTATGCAAACCTACGCCCATGACCTCACCAACAGTCATCTGTCCTGCATTTAACCGATGATGATGATGTTTCACGCAAACATTTCTTATCAATGTCTTGTGGCTAATGTAGCTCCCGTTATTTATAACAACGGGCCTAGCTTACAGATGGTGCAGTTCTGCCTTTAAAACCAATGTTTGGTTAAAAATCACACAATAATGCATGAAGGAAAACAAACGGGGTAGAAATTATTTTGCCAAGCAGAAAAGAATATAATCCAACTTTATAGTCATTATACTGTCACAGCAGGTTGACAAAACCTCCCGATTTCCGGGTACAGTCCCCGTTTGGGCCGTCTCTCCCCGGCTGAAACTGTCCTCGGATATGTCCCCGAGTTTACCGTTCTAGACTGTTATTACGGTAGAAAAGTGCAGGCAGAAACATTTGTTTTGGTAGCATTTTGCGCTGCTGTTACATAATGATTAAAAGAGTCCACCGCTTGTTAGACTGTTACGATCCTTATGGATCCCAGCGGCCACTAAAACACAAAGACTGAAAAGAGTGCAACACTTTTTAAACAGTTGAAGAAGTAAAAGCAGATGGTTGTTATAACATCCTGTAGTGGGAAAAACAACTACCGTCATTTTCTGACTATAAACCGCGAATTTTTCCCCATTTTTCGACCTTGCGGCTTATATAACAATGCGGCTTATCTATGGACTTTTACAGCTAACGGCCACTGTGTGGCGCCTATGGAGCAGTGTGGGGTTAAGGGTCTTCGCTCAGGGACCTAGAGTTCTCCCCAGGCTAAACGGTTCGCTAACAGCTAAAGGCCAAGAAGTTCTTCATTTCTGGAAAGAACTAAAGCTTTGTGTCAAGGAATACCCAACATTAAAATTAGACAAATATTAGCCTTCCAGAATCTTCTTTACAATGTCATTTTAGCGATGCTACGCTAGCAGCAGTACTCAACACGGATCTAGCTAGCTGGCTATCTAGCTAGCTAGCATCAAACGTATCCAGAAACTTTAATAATTTGGCGCGATATCAATACCAAAAACAACTATTGTTTGCATATTTTTGCAAATGTTGTTGATCCACATTGAGATAGAAAAAGAAAAGTCTTTCCACGTATGTTAAAATATTTTTTGCACCTTTAAATATGAATTATCTTCCCGCCTTTCTCTTTGCCAAACCTAAGGACTTGTGTTTCTCATATATTTCCTCTCTCGTTTAGCCTCCTTTAATCAATAAGTGCCCTGCTGTTTCATTGTCATGACCAAAAAAAAACTACAGTACCCAGGTGTGGTGCTTCCCAATAAATGTAGATATTTATTCATCTGGTTCTATTAAACTTCTAATCTGCAAACCTTTTTGTTTAAACACTACATTTCTTTGAATCCTAACCTTATCTGATGTGCTCCAGTGATGTTTCCAGAGCCAAACTACCTCCCTCTTGATCATGCTTTTCAATATCTGTTTGGCCAGATACTGAATTCCACCTCATCCCTCTCTGCTGCCTCGTTTATGGCTTTATTTGGGAAAGAGATGCTTCTAAAAGTAGCAGAACAGCAGGTTTTAAAGACCGGACCTCAGGCTGGGTTTAAGGCAGCCTGGTACTTCAAAGCATGGTTTCTATTGTATAATGTGTTGATAACTAACAAGATAGTATGTTTTTTGTTTATTCTTTAAAAGTTTTGTATTAAGTTCTACATTTATTTTTAAAGATCGACCAATCCCGATGCTGATTATTTTGACATGAGTCAAACCGATCTGATATGTGCTGCTGGTCCCTTTCTTTATGCTGTTAATGCTTTCTCTTTCTCCATTTACATGATAAAAGGGTAAAAGGATAATAAATGTTACAAAAGTCTTAAAGTCGTAGGGAAGCGGCTGTTCCTACGGTTGCAGTTCCGAATTCTCCCTAGTGGAGCCCGGCTTTACACGAATGAATAAAGTGAATATGATTGGTCGATTATAAAGGGGGCGGGATTGTTGTGGCGGAAGGTTTGCAACGAAGTTTGATTGTGGCCGGTTTGTCGGCAGCATCATGCTAACCAGTTAGCAACTTAGTGCTAGTAGGTTCCCAATCGGAAATTCCATTGGGACCAAGTAGCACTTAGCAACGACGCTGTCAAGGAACGCTATGGACAGAGGAAACAAGAGGAGGAGAGTTTAGTGTCGGAGGTCGTGGATGAGTCTCCTCCGTCATCCATTTTTTATTTAGAGGAGGAAAGCGGGGACNAGAGTTCTCCCCAGGCTAAACGGTTCGCTAACAGCTAAAGGCCAAGAAGTTCTTCATTTCTGGAAAGAACTAAAGCTTTGTGTCAAGGAATACCCAACATTAAAATTAGACAAATATTAGCCTTCCAGAATCTTCTTTACAATGTCATTTTAGCGATGCTACGCTAGCAGCAGTACTCAACACGGATCTAGCTAGCTGGCTATCTAGCTAGCTAGCATCAAACGTATCCAGAAACTTTAATAATTTGGCGCGATATCAATACCAAAAACAACTATTGTTTGCATATTTTTGCAAATGTTGTTGATCCACATTGAGATAGAAAAAGAAAAGTCTTTCCACGTATGTTAAAATATTTTTTGCACCTTTAAATATGAATTATCTTCCCGCCTTTCTCTTTGCCAAACCTAAGGACTTGTGTTTCTCATATATTTCCTCTCTCGTTTAGCCTCCTTTAATCAATAAGTGCCCTGCTGTTTCATTGTCATGACCAAAAAAAAACTACAGTACCCAGGTGTGGTGCTTCCCAATAAATGTAGATATTTATTCATCTGGTTCTATTAAACTTCTAATCTGCAAACCTTTTTGTTTAAACACTACATTTCTTTGAATCCTAACCTTATCTGATGTGCTCCAGTGATGTTTCCAGAGCCAAACTACCTCCCTCTTGATCATGCTTTTCAATATCTGTTTGGCCAGATACTGAATTCCACCTCATCCCTCTCTGCTGCCTCGTTTATGGCTTTATTTGGGAAAGAGATGCTTCTAAAAGTAGCAGAACAGCAGGTTTTAAAGACTGGACCTCAGGCTGGGTTTAAGGCAGCCCGATACTTCAAAGCATGGTTTTTTTTGTGTGGAAATTTTCTAACTTTTGGGACAATATCATCTAATTTGTATACATGTTTAAGCCAGAATGATTTGAAATTTAAATATGACTTCCCTACTACTTTAACATAAATGGAACAAAAGAAAAAATGTAATCAAAGACAAAAATTGTATCAAATGGAAGGAGCAGCATCACTGCAAAAAGTTGAATTATAAGTTTATTTCGCTTTATTTGAGCAGGTAAGTAGGAAACTTCAAGGAGAAAAAAGCTCTATTCTCTTTTTTTAAAGTGCATGATATCTACTTATTTTATTTTAGGAGCAACAATTATAATACTGACATCCAGTTAGTCATAGTAAAAGCTGAGCCCATGGCTGCATCTAGGAGAGAAACAGGACTTAAGATTTTTAGGTTATTTTTTGACCAGTTTTGCAGTATTTTTCATGACCTTAAGGCTGCTGAATGCACAAATCAATCAGTAAACAAGATAAAAATATTAGTCTATATATCTCAAATTTATTCTCACTTCAAACTTTCTAACTTTTTTGTCTCTAAGAACATAGAAAATGGTGTTTAGGGCAATTCTGGTATAAATTTGCATATAAGGATCATTTTCGTCAAGAACCAGAAAATTGTTGATGTTTCTTTATGTTGCAAAATGCAGGAACAACGCAAGCAGAATGAATTCATAATAACAACTGTGGAAAGGCAACAAAAAGAGAAAATAAAAGGGTTGAAGACGGAAAGTTAAAAACACAGACTGCAGGGGAAAGAAAGGTATTTAAAAAGAAAAGAGTCCAAGGTTTTGACTGGAAGCAACGGAGTGAAGGAGAGGCCAGTATATCTATGGACAGGAAGCGTCGAGGCGTGGTTGGCTCACTCTCCCCTCTCATCAACCCCCCCCATCACCACCACCACATCACCGCCCTGCTGCTGCTGCTGCTGCTGGGAAAGGCCTGACCACAAACACACTGACAGGCACAGACAGACAGCGCATTTACGCATGCATGCTCAGCCCAAAATACACTCCGATCTGCATTGAAACGCTGGATGGGAACTGCTGCTGGCTGTGACCAACAGCAGGGGGACACATGGGCTGAAGAGTAAAAGTATAAGTGTTCATCTGCGGCGTCAAACTAACGGGATCAAATGAAAAAAATAATCTTTCATTTGCAAATTATATCAAAGGTTAAAACTTTGTTTTTGTGATTTTCCAGAAACCAACCAACCTTGCGGCATGCTGATCTTCTCGCCGTTCTTGCTCTTGAGTTTGTGCTTCTTGAAGGTGCCCTTCCTCTTCTTGACATTGGGTTTCTCCTGGTTCTGGTTGAGGTGGAGGATGAGGAGGCTGAGCTCGCGCTCGAAGACGTCCTGCTCCCACTGGGCCAGCTGCTGCTCCCGCTGCCGCAGGAACTCTTCATGGGACTTCTGCTCCAGAGCCGCTCGCTTCAGCTCCTCTTCACGGCAACGCAGCTCCTGATGGAGGACA